AAGAGTATGTACTTGATAGCTGGTATGTCGTAATAGTGTTTATAATTGTGTGAAATGGGTTCTTTGGGAATCCTGTAGAGAAAGATTTTAAAGAACATTATCTGATCATGCATTAGCTGGTAGTTACCTGCCTCAAGTTTAAAACTTGAAAAAACCCCCATGTCTTTTAAGATTTTTCTTACAGAGTAGCCGCTTGTCTTCCCATTGACGATGCATTAAGAATTCAGCTCTTAAAAATCGGTAGCGCCATCCAACGGCTGCGCTGTGAACTCGACATTATGAATAAAGTGAGTATGTTGTGATGCCCACGTTTTGTCAGTCAGGAAACCAAGAGAGCTGTCACAGGGTCCGTCATGTAGTCCTGCCATTAGAAAATTAGAAAACTAAAGGGACAGTTTAAGCATCTCATTTGGGACCAGACACTCAAATTGTTCTGCACTCAGCTGTGAATCCCTGTATCTAATCAGCTTCCCTGAGACTGAACTCCTGACTTTGTCATGGAACACCTGTGGTGCTGTGTGTCAGCTACTCTGCTTTGTCCAGGGTCGTCAGTTGTGTGAGTGGGCACGTGTCAGGTCTCAGAATGTTTTGGTTCCAGCTTTAAACCCCGGTCTTGAGTGGTTGGAAGGAAGACAGTATTGGGGGCCTTGATGTGCTGTGTAGTTACTTCATTATGTGAACTTCCTCCTAACACCTCTTAAATTTTTCAGTGCACGTCCCTTTGCTGTAAACAGTGTCAAGAAACAGAAATAACCACCAAAAATGAAATATTCAGGTGAGAACTTGGTTCCAGTTTTAGTGAGCTTCCGAGTGCCTTTCCCAGCCGCCTTAAGAGCTGCAGCCCAGGCTGTCTTCCTTCCCTTTCCTTACACACACCCGGCCAGCGGAGCGGGGCTTAGATCGCAGCGTCGGGGAAGGCGCCTTCCCGACTGGGCACGGACAGCAACAACAGAAAGCGCGACCGGGCACTCCTGGCCCTGTGTTGTTGGAGATCTGAATGTTATAGAATATCTGTTAGAGCACCTTCCTGTAGTTAAGGACCGAACACGAATGCCTCGGGCTTTATATTCCAATCAAACATCAGTTTTGCCCAGAGAGCCAAAGATAAAGTAGGCAAGCTTCTAAACAGGGCCCGATGCAGTGTGAGAGTATAATGGTATTTGAAAATTATTTTATGACAAACTGATAATTACAAACCAGGAAGGTAAGGAAACTGCTGTCTGCAAAGCAAGCGGCCGCCCAGGGATGGCCATTGGGACCTTCCCGTCGCACCTCCCCCAGGTGCCTGCGGTCGAAGCGGAGCTGTCTTCCAGCGTGTGACTTGACGGCTTAGGAACTAGTGCTGGTTTCCTTGTGGTCAACACGGAAAGCATTTAGACTGAACACAGCTGGGCTGACTGCCGACCTCATGCTGTCATACCAAGGTTCTGATAATACCTACAAAGAGGTTCAAAGAAAGCTCTTGTAACCTTTCTTGGTCAACTTTTAAAAAACTCTGATAGAAGTAGGCTTCCTTTTTTTCGTTTTGACTTCTCCTCTGTGTTGATTCTCTGCTATAGTTTATCCTTATGCGGACCGATGGCAGCCTACGTGAATCCTCATGGATACGTGCACGAGACGCTGACCGTGTACAAGGCCTCCAACTTGACCCTGATCGGCCGGCCTTCCACGGAGCACAGCTGGTTTCCTGGGTAATGTGGGGTCGTCGTGGCTTTTGTGGGTTTGCCTTAACTGGGCAGAAAACACAGATTTCTAAGCAGAGCTGCTAGAATTATAATCAAAAGTAGACAGTGAAATGAATGATTGTATTTAAATGCTTTTCATTTCATGCATGGCGGGAAACAGCTATTTTTGCATCGTCTCACTGAATGTAGTTGGGAGAAAGGTAGGCAGGTGCTGTCATCTCAAAGTCACTATCCCGTTAAGCCAAACAGGCCGCATTTTCCTGTCAGCTGCTGCTGAGAATCACTGGTCTTAGGATCAGCAGAGCTGTGTCTGAACCATGTTCTGTAACGTAGAAAACCAGTGTGTCCCCAGCAGGTCCGTTGGATCCCACTTTTCTTCTCGTTTGCCCAGTGGCCTTCAGGGTGACCCAGGGGCCAGCAGCACCACCTGGGAGCTTGTTCGAGCCACCCGGCCATATTATTTTCAGGAACCTTCTGATTTGTCTTTTGTTCCAAATTCTGGGGCAGCCTTTTCTGTGACGGAAGCCGACTGAGTGGGGTTGGTGAGACTTGCCTCGCTGTTCAGGACCCAGAACCATGTCAGCCAGTTTGTCCAATCTTATCTGACACCCTTCTTAGTCCAAGGACTAAAAGTAGAATTACCTTGTTAATATAAAGACTAAATGTGGGATATGCCTGGGGAAAAAGGAAATGGTTGCCATGACATGGTTTGGTTTATTTTCCTTAAAAACAGAAGTGCCATGACTCAGATTTCTGGTTTAATTAACTGACAAAATTGTTATTTTGGAAGGGTGGCTCTTTAATCTTAGATAAGAAATATGCTTAGCTACCTCCCCCCGCCCAATTTTAACTCACACAAAACTGCACATTTCTCCAGGGAATACTGCTTTCTCATGTGACCACCATGCGAAAGCAGGTGTGACTTTG